CATCAATCCCAGATGCTTTCCATCCATCCAGTTATTATTTCCCTTGGCACTGAAGTGCAACTACCTCTAGACTGAAGCTTCTCAGCAATGTGCAGCCCACTGTATGGCAATACGGCTCACAACAAGTGACTGAAACTGTTCAGCTGGAATTATAAAACAAGGGGAATTTTAAACAGGTAGTTCAAACCGGAGCTCAGCCTGAATACTGCAAGGAGCAATAGTAACTCTTGATTTAAAGGCCAGATGGTTTCAAATATCAATTATAAGAATGAAGTTCGGAGGGGGAAAACTAAGAATTCAATGAAATTATAAACTTTACCACTGTTCTGTTTGGATTTATGTAGCAGGATATCACCAGCACACTGCCCGAGCACACAGTGCATGGCCTCACACTGTATTTGTAGGGAAGGGTGCACCATGGTTCAGCAGTTTCCTACTGCTGTCCGTTACCTTCAGTTAGTTTTCAGGGATCAAGTTACTGCTTCGAGACACATCCACCCAAGTGTGGTGCCTTGGCCATTAGCTGAGCACCAATAAGGGTGTCACTGGCAAGGACTGCTGCAAACTTCTAATAATTGGGACTCAGAAAATGTAAGTTCATCGCTTTAACGGTGATTAGATTCCATACCATCCTTGCCACACAGCTTTGAAGGCTTGTGTGCAAAGGCAGGATACATACTGAGGCCATAGAGATGAAAACAGAGCATTAATTCATGTTTCAAGAACACAGAGTAAGGAAAGTTCACACACTTTAGAAAAAAACCACAGAATTTTGCAAATTAAATTAGTGCTTGGGAGAGATGAGATCAGCCAGTGCTCTGACATCCTCTTGCACAGGCAAGCAAGAGCTGTAGCAGAGACATGATGGCAGTGTTCCTTTAATGATGAAATTTTCCACCTAAGACACTCCACAGATTTGGGACATATTGATTACTGAGGCAAATTTAATAAAAAAAAGAATGTAAAGATATAAAAGACAGTCTCTGTCAGGAAGGTTTGGGTGAGGGAGGTTTGACTGGCTATTTGTGGAGCTCTGTGACAAGTCTGAAAATTTGTTTTGGCCTGCTGGGAAGCACAACAGTCACCTTGGGAAAAAAGAAAATGGTTTTCTGGGCGGCTGGTATAGGAGAGAGGTGGCTGGGGTAGGGCTACACTTCATATAATATGAATCCTCCACAAAGCAAAATGTTAATTAGCATGCAATTAAGGTGGAAAGTATTTTTACTTAGATTTAAAAAAATCCTCAACCAAGAATGTAGCTTAGTCATAAAGTACAAATATTGGGAAAATTGAGCATTTCAGTCCACTTCACCAGTCATTCAGAGCCCCTGCAAACTGGTTCTGGAAGAGCAGTTAAAGGTGGGGAAGTGCATAAAGGAGAGGGGGTGAAGAGACAGGCTGGGGCAATTTTGGGAAACCTGTTTCACAGTGTCATAGCTGCCACTCCATCTCCTGCAAAGCTCTGAGACCTAACTCAATTTCTCTTAGATAGATAATTTGAAAATTTGCAACAGTCTAATGATTTAATTTCAAAAACTTGCAGATCAGGAAGACATTAGTAGAACATTGAAAAACTTGGCATCTAAACAAAACTATAATGTATTTCCAAAACCAAACAGATATTTTCCACTCTTCCACAAAACTCAATATAGTATAATATATTACACATTTCTATGCAGAAAGTCTTACACAACCTGTCTCCATTTCAATGAAGCTGTAAATTTGGGGGTTGGATATCTGAAATGCAGTTTTGATCAAGTTAAGAAGTGGGAATACCACAGATGGGCTGGAGTCAGGTGAGTCTGATAAAAGAGTTCACAGGCCTCTCTAAAAAGCCCTCAACACAAACCGAACCTATAACGTTGCCTTTACAGTACTGAGCCCACAAGCCCAGAGAATGACAGACTTGTTCAGGGTGGGAGGTGTTGAAGCAGGATGCCTGTGCTCTACTCCAGTTAGTGTCTTAAAGATTGTAACCACCATATTCCTGCTACCACAAAAGCAACATGACCTCCCTCAGCAGTACATTAGGGTGCAAATTGACAACAAAGACTTTTAGCCCCAAAAATCAGTGCAAAAAGCATGTGTGAGCTGTATGAGAGCCATGTTACTAGTACCTCAATCTTCAGTGAGATAATCTCAGACTGGGTCACCGCTGGTCTTGGAGGGCATCAATCTTTGGAAGACCAACAAGTCAGCAGATGCTTATCCCTTCTGTAATGCCTCAGTAGAAGCCAGATCGTTGTTTCATGGCACATAAAGGCTGTGAAATCCATGAAGCTTGGAAATCTCAAAGACTACAAAATAAATCCACTCCTGTGCAGTGCTAATACAGGAAATTCCAGTGCGAGGGAATGCAGCCTCTGTCCAACATACCACAACCAGGAGAAGAATGTAGCTTCAGAGGAAAAAACTTTTAACTGGTTCCTAGTGGGCTCGTCCCTAAGTTGACTCTGTATTACAGTAACAAGCCTATTGATCTCTTCAGTCGTGGATGTATTTCTGCCAGCCCTGCCATGAGAGTAGTGGAGCTGTGGTGGACAGCTTGCTGGGTGTCCCATGTGGGCAAGCTGCCCTTCACCTGTGACACCAGGCACATGTGAAACATGGAAAGGGTGATTTTCTTTTCCTGATGAGCTTGTGGGGAGGCAGGCAGTACTGTGAAAGTCTCTCCCTTTGAGAGAAATTAGTAAAAACTACCCTGAGGCTACCCGTCTCTCCTCCTCATGAAGTCAGTAAAAACCATCAACACCAAACATATTAATTTAACTAAGCAGCAAATATAAACTGAAGGTTAACATGTATAATGAAAAATGCTTTTCAGTGTCTCCTGTGGCTGTCAAGACTACCAGTTAGCACACATGATAATGTCTGTACGTATCTAATAGGAAGCTGACTACTGAGACCTGAGAACAATGCAGACCATACATGACTTTCAGAGATAACTATTCTGGAAACGCCAGGAAAAAAAAGGGAAAACATGAGAACTGGACCCTGAACCTGGCATAGCTCCAGTAATGGCATCTTACAGCCTGCCACTCTCATCTTTCTTCAGAAAACAAGTGGCAACAGAAAGCAAAAGATGCAAACCTCAGAGCTGAGAGTCCCTCCGAAGGGGTGGGAGCACAGCAGCACCGTGCCCAGGGGCATTGCAAGGGTGGAGGCGGAGCAGCACTGGGGTGCCTCTTCCTTCCCTTCCAGCTCTACCTGCCTTTGTGGCACAGGGCAGGGACAGCATGGACACACCTTGTGCTTTGAATTTCTGACCCGAGACTGTCCCTTACGGCAAAGTGCCAACTCAGCTGTAGTAAATCTAGTTTTTTAGGGTTAAGCATATTATAAATGTTAACCAGTAAACACAAAAGCAAAATTCTCTCCTTTTTACTGAAAGGGTCTCTCCATCACCCAGGTGAAAGCTAACAACCTGAGAGTGACTGTTACTGACACATGAAAGCTTGGTTGTTCCAGCTAGATGAAAGGCACCAAACCTGAGACAAATATTTTGTCAACTCTCATGGGGAATCTTGTAAAGCCATCTCCCATCCTGTAACCGTTCTGTGGTTAAATAGTAGCTTCAGTTCTCTGATGTTGCAACCCAGCACCTTTCACAGGCATTAAATGTCGTCTAAATTAATTCTAAGAAAAAAAAAAATGCATTCTGCTCAGAGTCATTTCTATTGCCCAGTTATTTTATATGAATCTGATAACTAGTTTCCTGCTACAGAGATTACATCTTGAATACTTAATGCCAATTTGGAAATTTTTTAGACAAAACAAAAATAGATCTAAAACATAGCACACACAGTTTAGCTAAGTGTAGAACATTAATGCAAGGCATGATTGGAAAAACAGCAAGTAAATTGGAGGAGGAGAGCAGATTCAATGGATTCTCTCAGGGTTAGTACATGCTGTAACTGGTCATTCAGGCATTTCTTGTTCTGAAAGTACATTTTCCTTAGCATAAAAATCTTGAGTTCAACAACTCAAAAAAAAAAAAGTTAGAATGAAGGATAGAGTGCAGCCAAAGGATAGCCTTTAACAACCATTTCAAAATGAAATCTAAATATGCTTACATATTAGATAAATGTTGGCTTCCAGGGAAGCTTTACAACACTTTAATTCCATCCTGGACTGGGATATATAGAAATGTTTTGAATTTCCATAAGTGTCCAGAGCTCTCTGCTAAGCTAACAAGCTGATATTTCTATTCATATAATAGAAGTTATTTTTTCCCTGAAGTAACTCACTGGCCTCTCTTTGGTGATTTTTCTTTCTTTTTTCTTTTGAGCTGCAGTACAATTTCATTAATAGGACTATACAATAATTATTCTTCTCATATTCTCATCAGCTACGAATAACCCAACTGCCCTATTTTTTTGCCACATGGATTCCAGGATCTTTTTTTTTTTTAATGTCATGCTTTTTTCCCCTCTCATTACTTAACAGCAAAGCTTGTGGGTTGCATATAGGTAGAACACCTCACTGGCCACTCTCACTCCCTCTCTGGCCCATAGCACATTTAAGTTCTCTGGAAGTTTTTGTTATCCTTGATAGCTGAACCAGTAGTGGCCAGTTAATGACCCATGGCTCATCACACACATACCACAGGCACACATGCATACAACTCCTGTAGAATAGAGAAATTAAGGCTGGTCTTAACTTTCCCTAGCTGAAGATATTTTAAGGTGAGCAGGGAGACCCAATGAGCTGTCTGAATGCTGCAATGATCCAGGAAAAGTGTGGGCAATTGTACTCCCTGCAACAGATGAGGAAAATGCAACCCTGAAGTAAAAAGAAAATAAAATAAAATCAGCCCTATCTGAGATTTGCAGACACCTGAGAAGAGCAGACTTGTACTCGTTCCCAGGTCCCTCCATCTGCATTTTGTTCTTGTTCATATACAAGCAAAATGAGTTAAAAAATCCTGTAACTGGCTAAATCAATAATCAATGATTCTTAATAAGAAACAATATATCAAGAAATGCCTCTTGACACTATACCTTCAGGCTGGTACAGGCAGCCTGTTTCTCACTGCTTGCCCTGCTGACGCCGCGGCAGGCTCCAGCTCAGAGAGAGCACAGCTGGCTGCCGTGGCAGCTCTCTTGCAGCAGCTGGCAGTGCCCCGTCCTCCTGTGCTGTCCCAGAGCTCCGCAGACACCTGAAAACACAGTGGCAGTAGTTCCCCCCCAGGCAGGGCTGCTCAGACCCTGACACGGGTTCAGCACCAGCAGCTTAATACATAAATCCCTCTAGAGGAAAGTACAGCTGCAGAGTCCTTCGGCTCATAGGTGCAGCCTACAGTGACCACGGGCACTGGTGATGACAACCTATTTACCCACACAGACTTACAGTATTAATTTGAAAGCAACAGACAGAAGCAGGGCTGTCAGCCAACCAGTAATATTTTGTAGAGCTGGTGCCATATGTCATATATTAAAGGTCTTACTTCAGCAAAACACATGGTTTAATGCTAAGCCCAAGGGTGTCCCAGTGAATCCAGTTGCACCTGTCATGGTTTTCAAGACACCTACCTTAAGATCTGCATAAATGGGGTTTTAGTTATTTTATCATAACGTTTTCTTTATATTAACCTTCTTTTCCAGTCTCTGTGTTTAAAGTTGAAGGAAATAACATGAAAAAGCAGGAGATAATTAAAGTAGGATTCATAGCAAAGAAAGCAGGTACTTTGATTTTAACTGTACTTAAAATTAGGGAGGAACTTGAAGGCCAGAGAAAATGGCCCACAGTGCTAAATAATTTTTGTAACTTGTCATTGTGCACGATGCCTTTAAGAAAGTCCACCAATGAGGGATGTACTCTGCCACTGAACCTGAAACCCTATACAATGCTTTTGTCTGGTCTAGCTTCCCATGGCTAGTGTATCTCAAGACAGGAGGGAGATCTTATCAAAACAGGAGAGATTAGGAACAGCAAGCAAACCTGCCCAGCAAACAGATACAAATCTGGAAAGACACCCTCTCCTCACAAAAGCAGAGCTTACAGATATGGGTTAAAATGGGTGAGCTGACTATTTCAAAAAGATGAAAAACCGTTTGGCTTCTGCAGACTGAAAGGTGATTCCACACTGTAACTGCTCATCGGGCAGGGCAAACGCAAACCCTTTAATATGGCTGCCCAAGCAGTAGCCCAGGAAGAGCAGCTTTCACAATTTGGCAGCTGGATGTGGAGATAATCGTGTGGATATGGGCACTGACCTCTCTGCTAGAACAGATAATAGAACAAAAAAAGAGGAAGATGCCAAGGAGATACTTGATTTCTTTGGGTAATTGTGACTTGCAGTTTGTTATCACGCTCAAGTGGAACATCAACGGGCTTTGGGTTTTTTGTGAATTTTTAGGGAAAATCGATAACATCAGCAGTCGGCTATCTCCTATTGCCACTGCCTTGGTTCCTAACACAACTAATAATTCAGACCTGATGGGCTCCTTATAATCATTTTGGGTCAAGGTCTGGGGTAACAGAAACTGATTGCAAAAGAAGGCAACTGAGAGGAAGCTGTCCTAGGCCATGGCACTAATCTTTTGTACAAGTGAAAACCCACACTACAGATAAGTGTTGCCCTTTGTATTCCCTCTGCTGCCAAGGACCGTGACTACCCTGGCCAGGTGGCCTGTTCCCTGGATGCAGGAATCTGCTCACATCAGTCCTTACTTTCTCTCTAGCATCAGGGAGAGGTTCCTCTGCCTTTGAAAGACTGAAGTGGATACCTCATTAGGCCTTGATTATCCTCAAGCAATTGCTTAGATTTCTGCCCTATTACCGATCTGCCTTTTTTAGCAGAGGTCGTGGAATGGGCAGTGGCTGTCTTGTCTTCGTTATAATGCATCATTTGAAACTTTTCAATTAAGCTTCAGATCAGGCCACAGTACTGAGACCGCTTTAACGAGGGTGAGTAATGACCTTGTGCTGCACGGGATTTCTGGCACACCATCAGTTTTAATTCTTCTTGATCTTACTGTAACCCTTTGATACTTTGGATCAAGGGTTCTCTTGAAATGCTTTAAGCACATCGTAGGACTTTCAGGGACTGTTCTGACATGGTTTCTATCTTACTTGTCTCAATGTAGCCAGACTGTCACCTATAAGTCTCCCATATAAATTCAAATTGCCAAAGATTAAAAGGCAGCTGAAAATCTGGCCTGTGCACAGAACCGGGGAAATCTGGTGTGGGTCCCCAGAGTGAGTGAACCTAAAGAGGATTCTGCTATGAGAGCAAGGTAACCCCTTTGATGTGCCATGCCCAAGTACAGCAATGCTATGATTAGAACAGAAAGATACATTATGCTGGAGTAGTAAATTTACTAAGAACTACTGAGAGAAAGACTTCCAGAAATTTAGACTTCCTACCTAATACCCATTTTTACATTATATATAGGCCAAACTAAATCTCTGTAGTTTAAAAAACAATGTTAGACCCTCGTCCAGTTAAGCCGGTGATAGAAATCACTTTGACATCAGCAGGACAAAGATCTCACCTTTAAATTAAGGGATATTTGCACCCAGACCCAAACCCAAGCCTTGTAGCTGGAATCAATTTTTAAATAGGTTGTGTGTGGATGAAGCAGATCAACCCTGGTATTTTCAAGGTACTTTCCCAGATCTTGGAGTCTCATGAACCTGTATTTCCTTTTCTGGTGAGAAGGACAGCATCTAACTATAAAATTCATCTCAGTAAGTGTTTCTCAGAAGCCACTTACTTCCCCAAGGTTTGTGGGCTCCCAATGGCTGACACAAGACTTCCATGAGCACGAGACAATGAAATAGATACAGATTTGCTCGTGAAAACTCATAAAATGTTTCCATAGACTTTAGGTATGAATATTTCATAATGTCTGGATGCACAAATCCTTGAAACACAGTCCTTTTCAACAGAAGCAATTGGTTCCTATTAACAGCACAAGACCAAGTACCAGATGCACTGAAGGGCCAGACTCAGCATCCACAAGGGAGAGAAGCAGCTACGAGCCCACAGCCCAAGCCATGGGCAGTACCAGCAATTTAGCTATGGAGAAGACAGGCAGTGAGAATGGGACTGCAGCCTGTGCCTCGCAGGCGGGTATGTGGGAGCCATCACCATTTGGCCCATAGCCCTGGTCTGTCCTGTCAAGGTACCCAGCACAGGGACTAGGCTTGCTAAACTTGCCAGTGGGGTGTGAATTTTTAGGTAGCTGTTCTTATCTGAAATCTCCCCTTCAGGTATCCCAAAAGCTTCTCTCCTGGCTCACAGGGCAACCCTGAGCTGGCTGATTTATGCCAAGCTGCTGACAAAGTCTCAGAGGCTGCCTACCAAAAGAGAAGCAACAAGATGTTTGTTCCCCTCCTGCTATAGTTTATATATCATCACCCTTAAAAGCAATGGACAGAACCACTAAAAAGTAATAACTCCCTGTCTTGTTTTTAATTTTTTTTTTAATTATTATTCTTGAAGCTCTTCTTAAATGCAGCATGAGGGGGTTTAACTGGAAGGGTAGCAGAGAAATCCACGTGTTTTACTGCAGTTGGATGGCACTACCAGGGAACTTAAAAAGCTTTCAAACTTGCTATCAATTACTTGATAGATGCAGGAGGTGGTCATTATTGATATGCTTGTCTTTCATTATACCATTTATAGGAGGTCTTTTTCACTGCACTTGCTTGGTGGATTCTACAGACCTGGTAACAGTGAACAAAACTCATTTCCCAAACCAAGTTTATTGGATAGATTTTTTTTTTTTTTTTTTTTCTTTTTTTTCCCCTGGGATGTAGCAGGCAGAAAACACTCTCATCTGGCACTTTCTTGACTGCAAGAAGAGCAGACCAGCGGTACCATTAGTGTTCTACAATACCAGGCACAGAAAAGAGGTGAGGGAACTCAATGGATTTCACTCTAGACAAAATTATCATCGCTTTGTCAGGATTGACTTCTTTGTTAACTCAACACTGTCACACCTATTAGCATGAAAAAAGGCAGGGGTCATTTAGCACAACCCTATTTACTGTGCAGCGGAAACACACCTTCCAGCTCCTGTGAGTCTTAACAAAGCTGCAAAGAGCAAATCGCAGCAGTGTGCTGTATCCCCATTTCAGGTCCTCTAGGCAGCAGTTATAAAAACCGGTTGTGTTATCACCACATTTCAAAGTCAGAGTATATCCACACTGACGTGTGGCTCTAAACCCAGCAGAGCTTGATCTATTAAACACATAAAGGGGTCTGTGTGTCAAAGGAGCCCGGCCTAATCATGGGACAGAAACCCCAAATTCTCAAATTCGAAACCCAGGTTTCTCCAGCTATTTGACCAACATTTCAGAGCACATCCATACATTTTAAATTTCACACTCTAATAGGAATACATAGCAATGCCCCTTTCAGAGGTGTTGCATTGATTAATAAGCATGTCACCAAGGATGGAAATTGCTACATAAGTGTTAAGTGCTGTTAACTAACGAAAGACAATTCCATACATTCTGGTGGAATCCAGAGAACTTCAGCAAAATTTATTAGTTTCATTTGCATATATACTCTGTCTGACAACAGTGATCAAGCTGGTGAAAGTTATTTCAAATGTTTGTTATGCTCCATGACTGCAGAAAAAATTACAGGGAAAATTCTGGCTCACAGGGCAGAATTGTGCCTGTTGAAAAATCTTTAATTTCTGAAATATATAGAGAGCACAAACAAATATTTCTCTCATCAAATTTGCACACGCCTCAGTGATATTTAGCTTAATAACTGCGCAAAGAAGGAACAGTATTGATGAAGTTAAAGTACAGAACAACATTCTGCAGGAAAACTGCTAATGCTTTCCGTTTGAGCCACATGTCCTCATTAAGGGCTCAGGCTTCTTGGCAAACCAGAGAACATCTGTTTTAGACACTTCTAGCTCAGTTTTTCTGTGATTCACCTTCGATGCCACATCACCAGGGTGAAACACCATGGACCACCTAAGACTTTCCTGGCAAAGGTCTACAGGCACTGGTTTTGGATTCTCAGAAGTCAAACTATAGTTTTCCTCAAATAAAACAATTTGATTAATCTCTGTATTTCTAGGTTGTACCATCCTTGCTGCAGCAGACTTTGGGCTTAGAAACTAGGTCCTTAAACTCCCATTTCTATGCCTCTGCCATAAAACCATAGTCTCTCTTGATCAGCTTTGTAAACAAACAAACAAACAAACAAACAGTTGAGCAAGACTGGAGGCTTCTGCCTTTAGGACTTTGAGAGAAGAGGCCCACTAAGTTTGCAAGCCAGCAGATAGGAGGCTGCAAGAGTCTCAAGAACATAGGATACTTCTCTGATGCT